GCTATGCAGTTTCTCTACGGATAATGCGGTCACTGTACACCTTTTCTATGTGTAGACGCCCGCATTTGTCTCTTCATCTCTTATCTCTGCAATCACTTTTAAATCCCCCTTAGCTGAGTGGCATTTTGATTTGTTATTATTATTTTATTTCATATTTGCATATTTGCATATCACCATATCACATAATCGCATTGGATTTGTGTATGATTTTGTGACGTACTCTTGGTTATTTTCATTGCTGAGCGTTGACAGAAGTGCATTGTTGTAACCCCTCCCTATCAGTCGTTCGTTTTGCTTTCGTCACTTGGCAACTTTCACTTTGTGAGTAAAATGCATTGCCTTGAGCCCACTGTCCTTTTCCTTCGCGCCCTTTCTCTGGAGTTGTTTGTGATTTTCGCTTCTCTGGCATCGTGTCAGGTTGTCACTCCCACTTTTGTGACTGCCTTGTGTGTGAGAGGGCAATAAACTAAAGATCCAATGGAATATGAAAGCATGTGTTGGTTGTAAATATTATTGGTTGGTTCCTCTCGCTATATTTTTCTAAAGCTAACTTTTGAGACGTGATTTATGAGCGAATGCAAAGCTTTGAAAAATAATTTTTTTCTAAGATTTTTTCGTGCTTGAATTTATATATAGAATATTGGTTTTATGATTTGTGCTTTCACAAAAATAAACACAGGAAATGCCACAAAGGTCATCTTCTTGAAGATTGTATATGGTACATCACGGTACTGCTTCTCCAAAGCATTTTTAGTTTTTTTCTTTAAGAGATGAGCTCTCTTTAAAGTAGAGCTATCACACGAGCAGCCTTACAGACGCTTTAGATAAGCGAATATACTTAATAGTCTATTGCATTACAACACAACCTGCGCTTCTGCTTCCCTAAGTAAGGCCATATTTATTTACTGAGTTCAAGTTTAACTTAATGCGTTGCCAGCTACGTGACGGCATTTAAAGAACGAAAACATAACGGAAAATTTGTTTTCTCAAAATCGCAGCACAGCCGTAGATATGTGTGTCGACGAGGAGCCAATATGAGAGAATGAGAAAATTTCGACAAATTCTCCTTGTATTAAGCATACATATGAAAGCATGAGACTGCTTTGTGGAGGAAATTTTTATGCACACCACACTGCTCATGATAGGCTTTCCACGTCACGCCGTCCCTCACATACGCTCGATGCACCTCTCCATCTGCTGCTGTTCGAGTCGCGAAGGCCACGAATTTACGAGTATTGTTTATCAACGTTCATCAGATTTATGTAAGGAGCTAATTTTAAGTTTATGCCAATTTCGTACGTGACCAAGATTTCGCGCCAATTGCGCGCAACAACAATGCTAATATCGACATGTAGCCTAGCACAACAACAGCGTGGGGAAGTTCAGCTGTGAGTGGCGAAAATTGGTTGGTGCGCTGCGAAAGGGAGCATGAAAAAACTGCTTCTACATTTTAGGTGGAAAATAACGCCCTCTCTGCATTTTCAGTTTTCTAACTCTACATGTTTGTTGTTGTTCTTCTTTGAGAGAAATAAATAACATCCACTTTGTAGAAATTTATTTTATGATCGTGACTGCCGTAGCGAATTGCAAGCTCTAAAGTGCTGCAGCAGTTGGCTGAAAACTGGAGCGAATATCGAAAAGTGAAAATTTCTTTCAGAAAAAGCTACAAAAAACAAAAAAATCGCTTGAAGAGGGCGCTGTTGAGCGGTACTCAGTGCAAACAAAGAAGAAAAATTCTCTTACGTTGCGTTTGCAATCGACAGTAGAGCACTGAACAATTTTGATTTTGGTCCGTTCCATGTGTCACTATTTAGCTATAAACTCTCAGAACGTTAATGTCACTTCGAGAATCGAAGAGCCCCAACGGCATCTCTTCGTGACGCATCGTGTTGTCCGAATAGAAAGCGTCTGCCCAGCTCTTCAAGCAATAAATAGGTGTTACTAGGGTTAATGCAACCCTCCAAACATCCTCATCTGAAAGTACCCGAACTCACAAAAAACTGAGCTTGTTATGTAACTGTAAGCAATTCACAAATTTTGCCACTTCAGTATATCTAATAGCAACACAAGTGGAAGCAACTAAAGTGTATCTTCATGGTTTATAGTTACAAGTATGAATCTGAGATTGCTGTGAAATGTCCATTTATATTTTGTATTGTAAATCCCCACCGCACAAAGAAGCGCGTATGCAAATTGCGCCACTTTCTCGAGAATGTTTATGAAACACTCGAAGAACTTGTGTCGCCACGATTTTATTGGCACGTACTGTGTTTCTTCTTGTCTACACTGGGCAAATATTTCCGCCAATACCCAGACTAGATTGTAAATAGCATTACACATACATACACATGTTTATGGTTCTTTTATATTTATGATTACTTACAACATTTCGGGTTACTTTTTATTGATCTTCGGAGGCTTGGGAGTTAAAGATTTTAAGTATTTCCATTTTTTCTCCACTTCTGCATTATTGTTTGTGTGTTTTTGCGCTGTTGCCATAAGTGACGCCAAACTAAAGTGGTGTCTCATTTTATGAGCATAAAAGCGGCGCTTCGTATTCCTCTTGAAGTTCTGTCACTCTAGGAGGTACTTAGAAGGTACTTCCAGCTTTCAGCATGAATTATAATCTAATGGATGCGCCATATTAAAACTTTGAATTGTCAGCGTAGCAGGTGAGGTCGCCAAAACTGCGTCAGCGAGGGCGGGATTTGAAATTTTCATAGAAGACAAATTAACGGTTTGCTTTTATTACTGCGAATTTCGAAGAGTAGCTGCTTATTTTTGGTGATTTGAGACAAAATGAATAAGTGTAGAGGGCTTGGCAGATTCAGTTTGTTTATCACGGGGCCACCGCGAGTAATTTTAGTTTTGGAACCTTCTTCGTTCGAAATTACATTAGCTAATGACTTTTAGACGATTTGTTTTCGCACAAGATCGGGATTATCTATGTTCATTATTATATCGTTTGACCAGTATTTTTATATAGTCTGTATCAAAAGTTTTGAGTTATGTTCTTTACAAATTTAGGCTAAGATAATTTTAAAGATTTTAAAACGTTTGTCAAAACTTCGTGAAAGCCAAGTCTTCGCTCCGTAAAAAATTATTATTATTTTTTATTGTTGTGGACACAGCTTACGCGGTTATAGCCGTTCTTCCTTCTCGCTGCTTGGCGCCAATTGGAGATTCCAAGTGGAGCCAGGTCCTTCTCCTCCTGGTCTTTCCCATGGAGTGGAGGTCTTCATCTCGTCCATAGGACCTAGCCAACGTAGCCGCTGTATCTTAATGTGCTGAAATATGTCAATGTCGCAGTATATCTCATAAAGCTTATCATACCATACGCCCAAAGGGCCTCGCAGAAACTTTATCTTGAAAACTCCTAAGGCCGATTCATCAGATTTCCTCATATAGCAGGACGGGAATAATGAGTGACTAGTAGAGTTTGGTTTTTGTTCATCGAGAGAGGTCTTTACTTCTAAATTGCCTACTCAATCCGAAGTAGTTTCTGTTGGCAAGAGTTTTTCTCTGTTGCACTTCAAGACTGACGTTGTTGTTGTTGCCGTTAATGTTGCGAGTGCGACGACTATTTGTACGATGACAGGAGATATTTCGTCTTGCCATCGTTCACTGCCAGACCCATTTGCTTTCCGAAGATTTGATGCATACTGAATATCTGGTCAGTTGTTGATTTTCCAGATCCGGTTTGTTGACGGTGCGCCTAAGTCTTTAGCTCAGTACGCTCGATAGAACCTCATATGTGATGTTGAGGATGCTTATCCCATGGTAGTGGGCGCAGATTGTGGGGTTTCTCTGTTTGCGGATTTGACTTTTAAAGACACTTTCCTTTTCTTTACTCGGTTCAGTGAGGGGTTCTCCGATAAGAGTTCAGCATACATACACACACTCACAAACACTTAAACACACGCGATACCGCTTACAGTAGTTGTTTTTTCAAAGAATACAGGATTGCATTTAGTAAATTCATCACTCATGGTGATTGCCACTAGAAATACTTTTAGCCACACGTGCCGAAAGCAAAGGGAAACTGCAAAAAAAAGGGAAAATATTTATTGGGATTACGAAGAGCGAAACATGCTGGGTGGATGGGCGGCTGCGCTAGAACAATGATGAAACTTTCATGTTCAACGCCTGCGGCAACGCTCTTCAAGCACACGTATTTTACGCGTTTCCATGGAAATCCGTAAAAATTTAAAAAAATCAAAACCTCGTCGTTGTGCGAGCGCGCAGCCAGAGCGATTTCCGGCACACTCACACTCACACTTTACCGTTAAATGTTTTGTTATTTTTGTTGCTTCCTTATCTGGCTGCCTTTATCTGCCATTCAATTGCGTATCCGCTTCGCGGTAAGGTGAGCAGCAGGGTAGGGGCATGAGCGGAAAGAAGCACAGAAAGCCGCATGAAATTATAATCAAACAAAGGCAGCATACTTCGGTATTAAAAACATCCTTCCCGTCAACAAAGCAATTGCAAACACTCCAGCTATTCTCTCAATTGCATAAAGAATGAGAGCATGTGTGGCATGTGGCAAGTTAACTGTTTTGTGGCACTTTGTAAAACAGCAAATCTGCCTTGCGGCGCAAAAAGGATTTCTTCGTCAAGTCTTTATAATGATTTCCGTTATTTATTTTGGTGATTTTTTCGCTGCCGCTGTCGACACGTTTGTGGCAAGGCGCGGGCTTAGCATGAATCATGGTGCCAAATAAAAGGCAATAAAAGTGAAAAAAAGATAAAATTATAAATAACAATAAAAAGCAGATAAAACTTTGGTGTTCCAATGTTCGCGAATATGCCCGAACACATGGAAATAAAAATGTGCAGAATACCTCAGTCTTCTAAGAGTTTGAGAAGAGTGGACATGCTCTGGTGAAGTTGCAAAGTTTTGCCTCAACGCTCAGTTGCGTATTTTTTCTGATTTAATGTCACACCTCGGCTTTTGTAAAAGCTTCCTATATAACTTTTATGTTTTTCTTTGTTTTTTGCAGAGTCGTTGAGCTCCTACTCGACCACAACTTCAACGACGACGGTGTCGCCATCGAACCTGCTGCCCTACTTCGACTTCGATGTGCCGCGCAACTTGACTGTGACGGTCGGTCAGACGGGTTTCCTGCATTGTCGCGTCGAGCGTTTGGGCGATAAGGATGTAAGTATCTTTACAGTTTAATTTCAAAATTTCGAAATCGTACGCAATGTTGTTATGTGTCTAATCGTTAATATATATGTATATCAGAATTCCTGACAGTTTTTGATTGGTGCAAAGTACATAAAGTTTCAATTCCAGTAGTCTAAGTGCCAAGAAAGTGGTTTCGAACGCGTTTTAGGTATAAGCGAATGCCATTAACCCAATGTTAGAGTACAAAGCGAGAAAAATATATCCACTTTTTAGGACCCCTAATGTAGTTTATTAGAAACTTTTAATGAATTCCACGAGAACAACAAGTTGGACTAAAACACGTCTGGATGTCGTCTTATCTTAAATTTACTATTGAAATTCATTGATATTTTCACGCTCAAAGAGAGCAATTATATTTATGGTGTTTGGTATGAATTTTCTCTCCTTAAGGGGGTGCCTGCTTGAGAAGCTTCAAAAAATCGCTTATAAATCGGCTTAAATCTCTTTAAAAATAATCGAAGAATATGTCCACAAAGTGTTAGACAAATGCACATGCGAGATGCCTCGAGCAATTGTTCCCCAAAGACAGAATATCAAAGATTTCGTATCCAAAAAACTTGTGACTGATGTTTAAATATACAGCTGTAAGCCCTAGGAATTTTGCTTTCTTCACTTATTTCTTCCCCTTCCAAAAAAATTGTTTAAGCCAATAAAGCAGCTCCCCCTTAAGGACTATTTAAATTTGCAGAGCAAAGACCATGCGCCACTCATTTCTTTACTTCTAGACCCGCTAAGCTGGTGAAACTTGCACCGCCAGCGTTTCCTTCGCTCCTCTGCTCAGAGCAATCATAAAAAATCACTTTGACAAAGTAGAATCGCAAAATCCATGGCTCACGATAAATCAACCCCACTTTAGACTCACGCGATGACGAAGTCTGCATTATTAATTTTGCGAGATAAAAAGAGCAGACTGTTTAAATATCTTAAGAGCGGGACGTTTTGCCTACGAAGCTGTAAATCTCATTCCGGTTGCTGGTACTCGCTTACACAGAAAACAGCAAGCAACAACAATAAAAAACTGTTAATTTGTCCGTGTTGCTAAAAATAAATGCGTTCGCAAATCAACTGTTTTACATATATATACAAAGTCATGCATACATAGATGTGTGCATACTTGAAGACATAGATTTTGGGCAGGAATAGTTCGTATCAGTCAGTTACTGTTTAGTTTACAACTAGTACGATGCCGAGCAGTTGCTTTTTAGCTTTTGGAATATGAAGCTCCTTTATATCGTTGTCCTGTGCACTGAAGAGCCAACTTCCGCTTAGGAGGCTGAACGAGCTGAGCAACATTATAACGAAGCATTATCTCCCAGAGACTTCGTAAAACGAAATCAGTGTTTGTGTGCGAAAATCAGCTGACGAGTTAAGCTTGCCTGCCGGTCGATCCTCGGAGTAGTCTGCGACTGGTTCAGCGACCGCGGAGTTATAACTGAAGAATTCATACACAAGGAGCATGCGTGTGTCTGTGTTAGTGCGTGCGTGCGTCTGCGGCATAGCAAATGGCATGCAACGTGATTGATGGTTCATAAATTAGTCATTTTGGGCGGTTGTTGTCAATCCTGTCGTTATTTCGAACATCGCTGCCTGCCGGTCATGGCGAACACAAAATAAATCGCAAAACGGCGAAGAAAATAAAGGGTGCGAGAGTGGAGGAGAGCGTGAGAGATGGGCAGCAGCGAGTGGCTTGTTGCCTACCGATGTTTCTTCTGCACCATTGTTGTTTTTGCTGTATCTTCATGTTGACAATTTGTCGTGCGCTGCCAGAGCGATTTCACTTCGCTCCATTCGGACGTACACAGGCATAGAAGATTGAGCGGCCCAACAGCGGAGGTTATTTCATWGCGTATGTGTGTGTGTGGGACATTTTGTGCTGGTTTTGTTGGATTTCGGTGCGGCATGCAGTGCTTGTGATGTTGACATATTAGCGTAGCCCCGAGGCCCGACATGAGGCATATGCCCAACTGGGCGACGGGCGCTGCCAAGAGAAAGAAACGATTACCGTTGCGAAAAGTAGCATCAGTCGATGAACTCACAAGCCGCATTTGTAAGGTGAAAGCCTTATTCAAATCACACACACACACACACACTTACACATATACGCAGCTTACGGCGCACTTTGAGTGGACATTGGCGCCCAAATGCGTGACCGGCTAAGATAAAGTGTAATGATGTCGACATTCATTGCGTTGGCCATCGATTGAAGCAGACTAACTTGTAAATAAATAAGAAATGCATGCATGTGTGCGCATAGAATGTAAGGGAAAGCAGAAAAAATGCAAACAGGCAGCGAAGCGAACAGGCCAAATGGATAAGCCGAACGCAAAAGCGATAAGCAGTCAGGACATTGATTGAAGTGCTATTGAAAGCGACGGTGGCGATCAGGATTACGTTGATTTAAGCTGAGAAATTAAGACTGGACCGTAATCAAATGTGATGCATGAGCGATGCTTAACTGGCACCCTTTCAACACCGGCGCCGCCAGAGTCAGTGAAGTCAAGGACGCGCAAGGCGTTCAAAATAAATGGAAATCTATACATGCCAGAGCGCACACAATAACACAGTTTCTTACTTACAAAAAGCGTTCATTAAATTTAAATAAAAAGCCGCTTAAAGTAGCCGCACGCGCTCGCTCTCAAGCTCGCATATTTCCACTACTTAACTTTTTCTTTATATTAAAATTTTCGAATTGCTGAATCGCCAGTTGTCGTGCCTTCTCAGAATTGATGATTATCGATGACACTTGCCAATTAAGCAATTCAGATTTCAGATTTGGTTTAATGGATTGCTGATAATCCCGGTTGACTCATAAGGAACTGGGAAACGAGGATCGACCGTCTAAATTTAAGGCATTTTCAGTTAATGTCAGACAAACATAGATCACACTGTTAGAAGACACACTTAAAAGACAGACGATTTGTTTCACATATTCTAGACTGTGCGGTGAAACTGTAGAGCTTCTCTTTTCAGAAGAGTCATGAAGGAACCTTTGCGGACATTTTTCGATCCTTTTTTTAAACAGCCTTGAGATGCATGCTGCACCTTTCACTTTCACTTGTCCTCACAAAATGCCTCTTTTTCTCGGGATCATATTCAAAGATCAATGACTCTGGGCAATTAAACAAATACTTAGTCGACAGTGTGTTTTCCGAACTTTACGCACACGAGTCACATTGTCGGTGTTTGTCATGGTCCTCACCAGCGACCACTTTCAAAAGCCTTCCAAAAAGGCCTGCTACCACCGAAACATACCAGTTCTTGCTAAAGAAATATCTGGGTAAGCCTGCTTGATCATATCAAACGCCTCTGTCGCAGATTTGCCGAGTTTCACACAGAATTTAGTCGCGTTCATCTGCTCCAACGAACGCTGCATTTTCGGCTTGCACCCCACACAAAAACACGTCGCGCGAATTTGTTTGTCCTGACTCTCCAGGTGGGCGGAGTAAACTGACCAGCCGCTCATTTATTAGCTGGAGTGCCCTCTACCGAATCCAGTAGGTGCGCGCACGCTTCGAAGTATAGTCGCGGCGGAAGAAAATCCGCCTTATTACTCTCCGGAGAAACTCTGCAAATGTCGATAGCGTAGTGTTTGCTATATACTTTACTTTTTTGCTGAGCGTTATGAGATCATTATCTACACTAATTATTTTACAAATATTTATTCCCAGCACATTCCTACTTTAGCAGTTAATTACTCAGCTCTGCCTACTTTATTCACTTCACCAGATTTACATTCCATTCACGTTTATCCATCTCCAATCGTTACATTACATTGCCGTTAACTTAACAATTCCTTATTTAATAATCTTCTATTGTGGTGGTCTCACGATGTAAATAAGTTGGAATTTCTCCCACCCGAGTGCTGCCCGCCCGCTCCGCATACCGATTATGTAACACTCAATTGTTTTGATTTGATATTTTTTATTATTTTATTCTTGTTGTTGTGCAACGCTCCGCTGACCAACTCCCACGCCGCCAATTGAATATTTTTTCCGTGCACAAAAAAGCTCGGCAATAAATTAAGTTTTCACTCGAAAATTTATTATCAAAACAGAAGAAATAAATAAACAAGAATGGAACTTACATTGGTGAGTTGTCAGCGGCGCTTCATGTCTCGCTTACACGCAGGTTTACTGCCCTGAGGGAATTTCGTAACAATGATGAACAATAGCTTTGCTTAATTTACATTGGGGTGTCCTTAACTGATGTCAAATTTGTAAAGAACTCCGCACTTGAGTACAATTAGAGATTGACAGTATAAAGGAAATAAAAGAAACCGTCAGAAAGATTGTTTATTATTTCATATGCTTTTTAAGACTTCAAAGTCAGCACATATCTTAGCAGGCTTCAACCTTATTCCTTCTTTATTGGCGTGGACGCTTGATCAGGCTGCAACAATCAAAGCAGAAATTTTGCCAGCGCAGCATAGATGTTATGTCAAGATATTTGAGGTTGAAACTTATTGGTTAGCCTGTCAATTGTCAAAGTTTGCATTTTCTTCGTTCTGATCCAGTACTTTTACCAATTCGTATCACCAAGTGAACAAGTTCTTCTCATTGTCGCCAAGGTCCCAAATGTTGTGAGAATTTGTATCTCTAACACTAAGTCTAAGAAAGCCTACCAAGATATATACACTTGATCAAATTTAACCCGTATTGACATTAAAAAGCACTTTTGCGTGTAGTTTTATACATGTGCATGCCGATAGAGACATGTTCTAGTTCTAGACTTATTCTAGTTTTCTTATTATAATCCTCGACTGAGAAGCCTTTCAGTGCCCTCGTCGAATTTTAGTTTTTTAATCTTCGGTTTATACTGGGACGCCATTCGGAGAATTTTTAAAAAGTTTAGACGTTAGTTTTATAAACCTAGCAATATTTATGCGTTTGTCAGGCATCTCATTTGCGAACTCTACTTGATGTCGGTTTTGCAAAAGACGCTTCATATTTAAAATAGTAACCAAAATGCATTGTCAGGCTCCACGAGAGATGCTAAGATCATCCATCGATGGCAAGTATCCAATGTCTTCGCAATCTTGACTGAATGCTTTGTTTCCATCAAGTATGTAACGGCGGGACTCCACAAAACACTTCTGTAACATTATCAACCAGTTGGCTGCCTTCATTCTACTGGGGTTGTTACTTACACACAAATTGATATATGGCGATTAAACACACCAACCTAAAAAAAGGTTGGACCTCGCTAGGAAAAACATTTTATTGATTCGGCACAGTTTAATGGACCACTCCGGGTCAAATTTGATCAGATGGTAATTAATTGTGTGAAGTGTCTAAGCTGTCAATATCTTGGAACATTCAAGAACAAGGCTTAATTTCAGAAAAAAAAACAAATTTTTTAAACAATAAAATTTTGAAGCAATATTTGAATATAATAATTTTTATAGACAAACGAACACACGTACCAGAGATACACACATGTTACAAAAAACAGAGACTAGATACAGAAAGAGAATAAAATAAGAACACAAATCGCCTGTTTTCAATTTATCCCAAATGATTTTGTGGACCTCGATAGCTTTTTGACTCTTTGCTCGAAAAGTTCTCAATATTTGAATTTCCAAATATTTCACATTCTCACAAATACATTCATCCATCTAGTATATATATCTACATGGTTCTCACATCAATGTCGGAAAACCCTTTAATGCCAGAAACAACGCGAAATTGAACCTCCGTAAGCGCTATGGGCGCAGCACTCCAAGCACACGTTCACCTATATTCGAACTTTCACACCAAAAGCCACGGAATGCATGATCTCCGATATTAACCAACTGTCAATGATGTGCCTTCCTTACCCCGACCGCTAGTCACTTTCCCATCACGCAGCTAAAGCATCGTTTCGAATTCGTAGAGGCAACCCTCGAGCGGAATCTCAATTGTGGCAGACGTTGTCAGTTTATTGCAGTGGAAGGCCACAGCTGAAGCCACAGCCGCCCCCTTGCAGCTAGCCATTGCCCGCGGTCCTTTGCCGCAACAACTCAATGTGTCAACATCGTCGGCACCGAAGTTGCCATTGTCGCCGCAACGTTGCAACTCAATGCCGCTTAGAGATACGGGCAGCTCAGCTCTCTCCAGTGTATTGCCGATGTGCACCGGTGGTATACTGATGGCAGCAAAGGTCGGCGGTATGGGTGGGCTGGGGTGATAGGGCTGTTGCGGCGTGTGCGTTTCTGAAGCTTGCGGTGCAATGCCAGTTGTTGTTGCCTGCTGTTGTTGTTGCTGTGTCATGTCAGCCATATCGGAGAGCTGCTGTGCGAGCTGTTCGTTCTGCAGCCGTCGATTCGGGCGAAATTGGAAGGGTTTGCGGTTTTCCAATATTAGTTTGATGTCACGGGCCGATTGCCACCACCTGCAGTTGAGAGAAAGGTGGTATGAGAGAAACGTGTAGGAAATGAGCAAAATGTGCACTAACGGTTTGACAGATGTGGGATTTAATGTGACGTATGCCTAATATCCGCTACGATAATTAGCAGACCATGTATTCGCCCAGAGCCATGGCAAGCAGAGCGTGTCGAATGAGTTCGTGTTAAATGGTATTGCATACTACTAAGTAGCAGAAGCCGTTCTTTAGCCGCAAGTGTCGAATATGATCAGCGCCGCTGCCTGAACTTATTGTATATATTTCACTTTAATTAGCTGCCAAAGGAATTGGGTCAAGAGTCGAATGGAGAAAGTATTAACATTTCAAAAGTGGTGATGTTTTTGCTTGTGCAAATAATTTGTGATCAGACTTTGAAAATAATATTTAAGGTGCACGCTGCTTGGATCCCCTCTGTCGTTTTGAAATGCTTGTTTTTCATCGGCCTTTTTAGGCAAAGAACAAAAAAAGTCCGCAGGCCACATCTGGGCTGTAGGGCGGCTGCGGAAGCGTTCGAATACCGGCCTTGGTTAGGTAGCTGTTCACACGAAATGCTATCTGGGTAAACCTGCTCGATTATAACAGACGTCATACAGAATTTCATCGCGTACCTCTGCTCTAACGAACACTGCATTTTCGACTTGCACCACTCTTAGAAACACGTCGCGCCAAAATGTTTGTCCTGACTCTCCAGGTGCTCTGAGACAACTAACCAGCCGCTCGTTTTTTTTAGCTAGGAACGCCCTCTACCGAATTCAGTTCTATTACTTTCCGAATCAAACCCGGTATTTCTTGAAATCCACTGAAGCAGACTTCACAAGTGAGCATAGTTAAACTTGACTAAGTTTGTGTTCTAGAGTTTGGAGTACAAAACAATTTTATGGGTTATGGGTCGGCCTGAATAAAAAAATGATTTTAATATCTACATACACGCTGTGATTTCTTGTAAAAAGGTAAAGGGCTTTGAAAGCTGTGTGTTGTGAAGTTTCAAATAATTTCACTTTCAAAAGACATATAGTATTAATGATTTGCAGAATCATTGCTTTCAGAAAGACACAAAAATTTTATTTGCCGAAGCTCAGGCATTCATCATGTATGACACTCTGGTATTAAAATTCAATAGCAGTGCTTGCATGTCCTTCCGAAATAGAAAACCGACTGAACTTTTCCACGAAAAACTCACCCGTCATATTTCAAGAGAAATCTGTGAAATCAGTACACTTTGCCTTAGCCGAGTGTTGTTCGAATTCGTGGAAAGCACTGTTCGGGAGTAGTTATACAATGAAATTCTTTGATGTTCTTATACTTAATTAAGGGAATGAATCGGAGAAAATGAAACTGCCTTTGTTGCGGGTTCATATCCAATTAAATTAAGTTCGCAAATTTTTAGCAAAGCGTCATGAAACTAATAAAACTCACTCTCAAGGAGATTGTCGAAGCGCCAACAGTGGTAGGGACATACACACTCTCAGAAAAAACAATAAAAACCAAACATGTGAAATGTTTATGGTCTCCAGGGAGACGTGGAAATGATTTCGCAGCTTGCAACTAATTGAGTTTGCATACAAATTATAACGGTATGTCGGTGGTGGAAAATGAATGCGAGGACGGGTGTATGGAAAAACGTTGCACATATGAGTACAGTTAGCAGTGACAACATTGCTGTTGCTTTAGCTGTTGTTGCTGCATGAGGGGATGTAGTCTTGTTGTCTGCAACTTTTTGACAATAAAATCTGAAACGAGCTGCTGCAAGTGCGCACACACACACACATCTTTCAACTTTTAGTGAGACTTACTTGCCACCAGAGAACATAACTGCTGTCGCATGGGATGTGCAACCCTGCATACCCAAGGTGGAGCACACAGCACACTCATAAATGCACCGACAACCAGCTCCAAAGCCAATTGGGAGCTTTTAAAGCAGCGAACAACAAAAAACGCTAACAAAAATAAGTCAACAATGTTTGCCACGCTTCACAGTTAATCCTTTTCATTCGGCAGCTTGACTATTTGACTCTCATTCGTGCTTATCTCTGCAATTTCGATATAGTGTGTTTTTGCTTTTGACTTTCTGTGTTGTTGTTTGCATACGCTACACTGACACGCGCTGGCTGCAGCTTGTAATCTGTGCTGTTATCGCGTTGCAAGCGTCCAACAAAAAAAAAAAAAAACAACAAAGAACAAAAATCAATTCGTGGAAATGGCAACTGAACTCTGCAATGAGAGTATTTTGTTTGAGAATGCATAGTGGAGCAATGCTGCAGCAACGCAAAGAGGAAGATAAAAAAAAAAAAAAAAATACGATGAAACCATCGTTGTTATGGCAGTATGTGTATCCGTGGCTTTGGCTGCTCAAGAATTAATATTTTTGTCTGTCGCTTATCGCACTTACATATACCAGGGGCTCAACTGTGACTTGAGGATCATATAAATATTTACGAGGTAAATCGTAAGCTGAAACAAATAAAAAATATCACTTTATTTATTCAGGTTTTTTTTTTTTTTGAAATTTCTAAAAATATATAACATACCGTTGTGAATAGGAAGAATATCAGCCAACCCTTAGTCCACATGCGACTCAGAAGCCAGGATTGCCCCTGCAAGAAATAGTATTGTATGCCAACGAGCAGAGTTCCAATTATGCCGAAGGCGACCAGCGTGAGCAGCGAGAACATTTGGCAGTCCTCCTGTAAGGGAAAGTATAGCCGTTGGGAGTCTATATAGTGAATCTATTTACAGGGACTTAAATACATATTTATATGGGGCACGCCTTAAAGTATGAACAGACAAAAATAAGAGATATGCTCGATATCTTGATCAGGTTGACATTGCTTCTTGCGTGAAGGAAAATCTAAGACAACTGAGGTAATCTTTTTGTCGGTTCACACTCACCTGCAAAGCGCGACGGCTCATTGAGCGGGAATACCACATTCGCAGCGATTGAAAGCACGTGTATCTGTAAAAAAAACAAAAAACTTTATTCAAAATATACCGAAAGCATGATTTTCCAATAAGAGTGCAGTGATTTATAAAGAAATAAGTACCAACTGTTAAGAAAATTAAATTTTTTTATTTAGTGTTAAGTACAATCAATACAAATAATTTTTAAACACAACATAGTTAAAATGGCATCCACGATACCTTTTGCTCGAACGAATTCAGTGAACCCAATTGTCGAGTACTTTTTCCAAGTCACGAATAACACGTAAAATATTGCCTTCTACCAGACTCTCGGTTTATTGCCAAAGACCAATTCTTGGAGGCCATTCAAAGTGGCAATTTGCTGAAATAACCGAGTCTCCAAACCTTTCTCGCAATAATTCGGTTGTTGCACGTGCTGTGTGGCACTTAGACACGTATTGTTGGAAAGACAAACTTCTTCCAATTGCGGCCACAAAGCGCTGATTATCATCGATTTAAACCGCTCTCCTTCATTACTAACGTTGTCACCAGCTTCATTTCGAAAGAAGTACGGACCGATGATTCCGCCAGACCAATCTGTCAATTTAGGTGAATGTAATGGTTGTTCGTGACTAATTTGCGGATTTTCTTCGCACTAGGATCGACGGTTTTGTCTATTTACCGCACTACTCAGACGAAAGTGAGCCTCGTCGGTGAAGATGATTTTCTGATAATCTGTATAGTTTTCAAGTTGATCAAAAATCAAAAATCAGCAAATACACGACGCTACAATTCTTGAGTGAGACTCATTTTGTACGGATGTAAGCTCAAATGATTTCTCAAAATCCGCCAGGTTTTTGTGTGAGACAGTCTCAATTCTTGCGAACTTTTTGAAATCGGTCTTCAGCAACACTGGCCTGAACGGTAGCATTTTCTTCATTATATCGAACAGTTCTCTGATCAGCACTTGAACACAAAGAAAGTGAACGCTTCAAGTTTTTAACAATTCGACGAATAGCGAGCACAGGTGGACTATTAATACGACCCTATAATGACAGAAGCGCATGACAAGTGGAAACTGGAGAACGATTATTTTGTGTTTTGGGGAGTGAACTTTAGCACGAAGTAGTCGAGTGACACAAAGCTTTTATTGTAGGCTCATATCAAAAGACTTGAAGGATCAAATACGACGATTACGCCAATACGTGAACTAAATTTTTGGTGACTACGAAGCTGTATTTACGACTGGAAAGGCACTCGTGAAAATTCACTTTTTCATGTATCTCAAGGATACCATCAGCTTGGTATACCCAATAAATTGATAAACCTCATTTCACATAATGGCAAACGTAAGAAATGTGTTATAAATTGGAAGTTCTATAACAAGTGAATTTGTTTCAAAAACGGACCGGGCTTTCAAAGGCAATATATATAGAACGAAGTGATGTCGCTTGGGATGGTCGACAGGCTTCAGTTCTTGTACGGATACAAGCTTTATAGCTTCCATAGCGTCGCTCCCTCGACAGAGCTGTAAAAATCTATCGCACACTAATCGCTTCTGTGCTCTATGTAGAGCAAGAGCAAGAGTGTAGTGCCGACGAAAACTATAACAGAAGCAGAGGCGGACCAAAACTTAAATAGGTTGAACGTGTAGGCCAGGGCACTGAATCGCTCGAGCAAGAGACTGAAATGGCTGAGTAGAGAATTGAATTGCAGCAAGCGTAAACGCGCAACGGACTGTGGAGCTGATGCTGATCATGAAAGGTATATAAAATGAGTCATTACTGCGGGCGAGGCATGCGTTCATGAATATGACGTCGAAACTGTCTAACAGTAATCATTAGATTACTTTAAAGTGAGCGGAAACCGAAAAAGTTGGATCAAAAGGTGACTATTTTGAAGGCGATTATAAAGATTTATACAAAATTACGCGAAAATGTATTTTTTTGCCAATTCTGGTCAGATATGATCTGAAGCTGCATATGATATGTATGCAAACATTTGCAAGATTCATTTTATATCGGCTGGTGACGGAAGAATAATCTTCTGTTCCATACCGCTATATGGAGGTGAAAATAATTATAAATATTTATTTAAATTATATATTTTCTATTTAAATTACATTTTGTGCTAAAGAGAACCCTATAAAAATATAAATATTTTTTTAGAAGAAATCAAATAATCCAGCTTGACTCAATTAATAAAATGTTTTAATAATATAATCAACAAACACATTTGTGAAAGCAAAACAATGTTTTTTTTAGAACAAGTTTGAAATTCATAAGCAAGTTTTGTAGATGAGAGAATCAGTCCCAGCTGTGTATGTATGCGGTTGGAATATAATGTAGTTATCTAACGCATTTGAAATGGGGCAAATGTAAAACCAAAGAGCTGTATACTCAAAAGAGCAATAATCATGCGTTTTAGCTACATACACATGCAATGTATATATGTATGTATACATGTGTGTGTGTGCCCAGAAGTTCTATAAATAATAACAGTTAAGCAACTATGCCTTTATATAACCCACATGCACAAAAATATAATTTAGGTTGATTGGGGAGCATGTCAGTAACAGGTTCTTTGAAAACCAAATTTTGCATTTTCTAGATTTCTCTCTTCAAAAGACCACGCATCAAGCTGGTACGCACCTCAATTAACAACGAAAGTACTAGTGTTTAGGAAGTATTATTGTTTTCCCGAAATTGAGAACCACCCTAGCATGAGTACATATGCGTTAACTCAATAAGCCGTACAACACACACACTCCGCTCTCCGCTTGCAAGGGTTCGCGGTTAACTTGATAAGTTATGACTTTGCAAATCAAAGTGTGCACTGACAGTCCGCGCTTCGCTGAGCAATCGGTATTCCTAATGTGAACCACAAATCGAGCGTGTAAAGCTGCCGAATTTGCTTGTTCCACACATATTTGGCCGATTGTGGATCATTTTGTATGACTAAGCAGAGCAACAACAAATTTGGCTAACAATAAAAGCCAACATGTGTTACAATTTATTTGCACACACATACACACGCAAATGCGACCATATGTGGTTGCGGAATACAATTTTTCAGCTCATTTGGCACCGTTACTTGCGTTACTTTCGCTATACCCATTTTCAACAGCCACTCGTCCGGCTAAATACTCCGTTGGGGCGGTTATGGGTGGCCAGGGGAGAGTGGTGGCGATTAGGCGATACATTTAGGGCACTCATATGTAGCCCCGCTACTGCTGGGATATATGTGTGGAAACCCGAACACGAACAACTTAACAACGCTTCAATGAGCAGCAGGCGCTGGCTGATTGTTTGTGCTGGCAACGCCCCCACATTTGGCCCAAATGCCTGTTAGACGATGTTAGACGCACACCCGAGTGCGTGAAATAAAGCGTACATTGTTGTTGTGTTTTGGATTTTTCTCCTCCTTTGTTGCAGCTGCGGCGCCACACACGCCCTTAGCCACTTCGGTGTTGGCAACACTCGCGTCCTAAGCGCCATTTACGGGTTTAATTTAAAAGCAAATGGCATCCCGCGCGCGCCTTTAACATTATGCCACGCCACCCACACATACACACACACTCTCAAAACCACCACTTGCGATTGTGAGTACAATGAAAACGAAAATGCAAAAATAAGAAAACAACAACATCAGCAGACATTGCGAAGTAGCACTCGTTGGGGAGGGGGGTGGGTATTATCCGCATGCAAAGCTACTCGGGACAAATGAAAGGACGCACGGCTCGGCGCTGTTTGATGTTGACCGAAGCATTGTTGCTGCTCTTGGCGTTGTTTTTGCGTTCGACGGGATTTGTAGCGGCATGGATAGCGCGTCAATGCGTCGCAGCCTACGTTCTGATGTATGGTGAAGCGTAGCAGGGGCTGTAAAACCAGCTGAGAAAGCATTTAGTAATGTTCACATACATCTTTTCAATTTCACGACAGGCAACGCAAAATCTCCGAGCAGCCGCGCTTACGACAGTATTTTGTTGCGATTTTTATTTTAATTTCTGCGCAGTTTCTGTTATTGTGTTCCTTTTTTGAATCCCCTCTTCCGTCTTGTTGGAGATTCATAAAGGGGGTTTATGATTCTCTAACTTGTTGGTATAAAGGCTGATAACCACTTGTAAATTTATAAATATTTCTAGACGTTTTTGCTGAAAGGGTGATCCAAACAGAAATTTTTTCTGTATTATTTTTTTTTTATGATAAGAAGATCTGACGTTTTCCATACAAGTTTTGTTCAGCGATTAGGCCCATTTCTGGCTCGCTTAGTATGTTACCAAACAATCTGAGACTTAGCTACGGCGAACATTTGAAAAAGATAATTAAAAAAAAAAATAAATAAATAAATGCCAAAGAGTGTTCTTTCTAATGATAATAAAGTCGTTTCCGTGCTTTTCTTTAAACAAGTAGGAAACTTTGAAATGAATCACCTGTTATATCGAAAATTCACATATTTGAGAGTACTGATTGAAAAGTTGAAATTGATCGTGTAATTAGTTGCAGAGATATTATTGTTTTTGTAAGAAGTAAAATCGGCCTGTTTCTCGAAATTATGTTTATAGAGTCTGTGCGAAAATATCTCCGAAATGACCCTCTTAGATTAGTTTCTCATGTTATAATTGAAGGAATAATATTTGTAATAATAATCTCGATTTTTGAAACTACTCTGAATAGCAATTTTTTTTTCATTAGCAGTAACTTTTTATTGGGAATCCAACATTTTTTCAAAAATTAAATTCTAACTATTCCCTCAATCATTATGTAACAATAATATTTTTTGGTATAATTGTTATTTTGTTCAACACCTGACAACTTTTTCTTGGGTCCTCCTCGGCTGCGTAATCAATAGGACCCAACAACTTGTAGTACTTAGTTACTGAACATAATACCCACTCAAAAATCCAATTAACGAAAAAGCGGTTTTTTCTAATTACAAATTGATACCCATAGATACTAAGAAAAACAAATTCATTGAACTCCTTAACTTTTTGACAATCAAGGAGAAAGAAAGCCCAATTAACATCTATGCGAGAATCCGTGAAAAAACCTGTCAATCAAAACGAAGGGCAGCTAGTCTTCACTTCTTAAGATACATACATGTGATATTCAAGCAAATCAGCAGTCAGCATCAGTTGGTCAAATATTGTCAAAACAAGTCTGGCAGCATTCTACACTTCTTTCTAAACGAATCCAGTGTCATTTGATGGTTCATCAATTCTATTTCTTACTTAGGCAGGGCATATGTACGTCAATCGGACTTTTTGATTATAATGCAAAGCCACCTAGTGGCAGAATTTTAAATTCGCGTGCTAATATCGTAAATGTTTAAAATCAAATTTTGGCAGTATAATTTCTCAAAGTATTCAGTGGAGGTTCTAATGTCATTGAAAGCTTTCTTCATGCTAGTCGCAGATCCACCTCTGCAAATGACCAGAACATCGAAAAAGTTAAAGAAACAGTGCTTGTAAATCGTCGCGTGGGCACGAAGGAGATAGCGGAAGATACCAACATCTATGATGAGACGGACGACTGAAAACAATTTGGTTAATGTTTTGGGTATGAAGTGTGTCAACGTAAGACTAGTCATTGCTCATCCAGCGTTGTCGTCAGATTTAGCTTCCCGTGACTTTTTTCTCTTTCAAAATTTGAAAAGTTCCCTTCTTGGAACGCGCCATGAGTCCACTAGACTTACTATATAAAAATCGCCAAACTGTTCGTGCTATAAAAACAGCTGTCGATATGATATTCTACGAGTAAAGAACATTAAACAAGATATCTCATTAGGAGAAAAAGTTGTCCATATAAGCTCTTAATTCAGATCGCTAGTTTGTACTGGTCGTTCAGAGAAATGAGCACCTTTTCGGTAAGAAAAGGACGAGATGGCCGGATTGAGGATGGAGTTGTCTAAATCAACTTAGTTCTTCACGTTGTTCATTTAAGTGTATCTTTTATAGGATCCACGACGTTTCCTTCTGTGCTTTTACAAACACCGTATCAAACTTAATATACCCTATGCGGGATATAAAAAGGTTGCACCGATCTGGGTAAAAATTATTTTTACCATTCAGTTTGTGCCCGCAGGTAAATGGACCAGTCCGGGTGAAATTTGATCAAGAGTGTATGTGCTGAATACACATTAAATCGCAAATTCAAACACATATTTTCTAGTAATGTGCCATCCGCAGATCGCAGGGCGTGGTGTGCCCACCATTAACCAACTGCCGAATCGAACGCTCGTGTTTATCGCGCATATTTTCATAATTCCGCATGCGACAAAATGCAAATAGAATTATGTTTTAATTACTTAGCTGCCATTGTCAATATTTGTGTAAGAGTGAATATTTCGGTTCTTTACAATCGCGCTGCTCCCAGTTGAATTCATTGAATTCACCAGCTGCTGTAATCGCGATTCATTAATTAGCGCAAATATTTTCCAATTACCGAACCGATATGTGAAGATAAACAGCGCGTAAATTGCACAGGCGCCAGCCCACCCCCTACATACTCACCTCAGCGTCTGCACGGTATTGTACTGGAACTGGCACAGCTCGCAGACGGTGCTCCTCGAGGTGCTAATCCAGCGCTCCAGGCAGTGGATGTGCACATATGTCAGCGATCCTTTGCACAAACACGGCGAAACTAATCTGCGCATAGAAATATTTCAAATTAAATTGCATTCACATAAATTAATATATTTGAATGTGTGCTTTTGTATTTGTTGTAAATATGCGTTAATGCATTTGATTAAAAATCGCTGATAAACGCTCGCCGGCAGAGAGATAACACGCGCTGCAGGCGACGCCGGTTACAGCCGTTTGTGCTTTAATATTGAATAAATTTTTAGAAACAACAACAAGTACAAAACACAGAAGAAAAAAATAAACAACTAATTATTGCCACTTTTGTGTAAATTTAATTAAATAGCAAAATATGGCAAATAGTGCGAGTGGCAGTTTTGGTTACATTATTGGTTGTAGATAATATTTAACTAAGCGCTTAATATTTCATGAATTTTCATAGTTCTCAAAAATTTTGCGCTGTTCTATTGTCTAAGCGCTTAAGGCCTCTGACTCAACATATTCCGTTACACGCGCACTTGCGCTTCTAGATTGAAATTAAAGCGACGCAAGAAAACTCCGGGTATTACTATTACTCTGCCTCACAAACTTTCTCGAACTCCAAGACAGTAGTTAAGGATCACAAAAATCACGACGATCTTATCTAATGGAAATCTCTCCATAAAAGCGCTAAAATTCTGGAACTCTCCTCGCTGATAGTAGACATTTTTCCTACTTTTCCGCGATATAAACACCCTAGGATGCTATGAACTCTCACGGTGTCACAAAAATCGAAATCACGGAGTCATATTCATCTATAGCACTGATCTGAAGAGTTATTTCTATGATAAAACTTAATACTGAATATCTACCTGGCACAATTCAGCTCTCTGTATTCGTTAGAAACGTGTCAACTATTAGATATATTATATTTTACAAACTCTCACCTCTCGGGATCTTCAGAGTTGTGACAAATGCGACAAACGAGCGAGCCGATCGAGCGCACGGAACCTGTGGGTGTAGTCTGTGGCGCGCCTTCTACATTGCCAGCCGCTGCTGAGTCATTGCCTTCCGCTCCTGGCATAATGGCGCCATCTCGAAGCGCCGTTAAGCTCATCTGCTTGATGCAGCCGCTACCAGCCTGAAGTACGAGCTCGTGTGCAGTACGCTGACTCGAATTGCAGTCGAGCTCCACATGCGCGGTCGTTATTGTTTGCTCCGAGTGCGCCAGCAGTATGCGGTCAAGAGTCCGATTGCCGACAAATGTTTTCTCGTCCGTCTCTGGCAAGGCGAGTGTCTTCATTGCATTATTTTCCGATTGGTCGGACTGTAGCGTACAGTCGGAGTCATCAGATTTTTGGCTGAGCGGTTTATCGCTACATTCGCGGCCGAGCATATTTAAGGTTGTCTGTTTGGCAATTGCCACGAGCTCAATGGGCGACGTTGTTGTTGTCGTTGTTAAGGTGGGTTTGGTGTCCTTGCTCATGGACGGTACCGCTTTAAATCTGGCAGCGGCTTCGGCTGCTAGCACGGCAAGTCTCTGTAGGTTTAACTGCTTCTTTACATCCGCTGGCGCTAAAGGAGAGGGAGACAGTTTGTGAGCCAACTGAAGGAATATTAAATTAAAAGCATTAAATTTAAAAGTCTTGCTGTCTGTTTGTTCCACTCGTGGGTCGTTTTTGTTGAACGACATGTGCTGCAGCTAATTAAAGTAATTATAAGTGCCTTCCACTCATGCAACGTGGAACTCATGCTGACTCTTCGACGTATGTCAACATCGCAGATCTTACTGAGTTTCCTTGAACGAGCGTAAAAGCATTTATATAAGTGTGTGCGGGGAGGTGGAAGCTGCATTAAGCCACATCTGTCGTCTTTATGTGCACATCGTAACATTCATGGTGGTCCTTACCATCGTGAGTGGTGCCCCTGTTGTCGTTGACTTTTTTGGTATTCTCTGCATCCATTCTGTTCTATTTCTTTTAGCTTGATCTTATTATCCGCTTTCGTGTTTTGCTCGCAGCGGATGGGATGCTTCCAGTTCGTATGTGATTTTTATATAATTTTCTTAAATAATTTACGAACAATTTTGAATCAAATTTGCTATTCAGTCACAATACCTTTTGTTTATGTTTTTTTCCTGTATTTATTTCGTTCAGTTTTTACTTAAATTGCAAAGTTCATAAACTTTTCGATTAAATGGTTCCTAGTGTGTGAATAAGTCAAGCAAGAGTTCGTTCTTCAAGATGTTGCTGATCAGATACGAATATTTCGATAGCTGGTTTGAGTTCTGGGTGTTTTCATTAAAGCTCCGTCTGCATTTGAGCTCCTCCGCAACCTTAATTATTTTTAGTTTGGATTGTTAAGATTTTTCAATCAAATACGACAATAATATGCGGAAAAGATAATGGTTCAGGCATGGTGAGACTGAACAAATGGTCACAGAGCCCGGATTGACGCTTCGAAAGGTTATACTGAGTGTTGGATGGGATTAGAAAAGAATCATGCGCTGAACCATCCTGGTTGAACGTCTAATTCTATATTTTATAGTCAACAACTGATGAGATTGAAGCAAACAATCGAGAAAAAGGCCAGAACAGATCAACAGAAAGGGCTTCGTCTTCCGTCAGGACAACGCCAGACCACACCATCTTCGATGACTCGTCAGAAACTGAGCGAGCTTGGCTGGGAAGTTTTAATGCATCCATATACCATATAGCCCTGACCGTGCACCAGCGGACTACTAGTTGTTTCGGTCCATGCAGAACTCCCTTGATGGAGTAAAGTTGGCTTCAAGAGAAGCTTGTGAAAAATACTTGTCGCAGTTTTCGCCGAGGAAGAAGAAAAATTTTACATTGATGGACTAATGTCTCCAGCGGAAAAAAGGCAAATAGTGGTCGACCAAAATCGTACATATTTGATTAATAAAAGCTCAATACAAATATAAAAACTAAGTTGCAATTTGATTAGAAATACGAAAAGACTCTTTTGATTACCAATATTTGAATCTATATAACTTTTTTATATAATTATGTAACTTTTGATATGAATAGCCTAAGTCATGTTGGCAATGAAATGCGTTCAGAAGCATTCGTTCATCAGAGTTGTATTCTGTGAAAATCCTCCAATTTAATCTATAGCCCTACGCTTTCTACCCTTCTCCCCTTGTGCTACTCAAACTCTTAATTTCATTTTGTTGTCGACTTTAAATTCATAATACACCATTAAGCACGGAAAACCAGCATTTCTGAATGGACTGGAATTCCATTTAAATAAATCACAGCGCCGGTCACGCAATAAGCGAAATGAAGCCATTCAAATCCAAAGCCAAACACACAAACATACAGATATTGAAGCATAACGGTAAAGAGCAAAATTTATGTACACAATTCACAAATTTCTGGCACACTTTAGCTTTGATTCAAGCAAACTAGTTTCTAATAAGTTTCCGGTCAGCGCGCCACAAAATAGCACCACCACAGCCACGCACACAATCGGCCACGTACGGCCATTTACAAATTCGCAGGCTTTTCGTTTTTGAAGTTCTTGTTGTTGAAAGCAAACTTCCGATCAACAAAATCCGAAGCGGATTTCATGCATGTCTCTTTGCGTCTGTGTATGTATGTGTGTTTACAGGGTGCTCACTGCTAACAGTAAAGCTTATTTGGTTGTATGTGCGTTTGTTTTATTTGGTGTATAAGCAAAACTCACCGAGCGATAAATCAAAGCCAACAGGAAGCCGAAGTTGTACCACTTCCGGCCACAAAAGTATTGCACAATAAGCGTGCGTGAAACCAGCGGGCAAACCGGTGCCTGAGACTAGGAATTCGCAGAGTTTTCCCCAAAGTGATAGCGAATGCATACAAAATATCTTGAGGTGACCATGTAGGAAAATCGAAAAGCAGGAAGAGAGTCGGATTTTGCTTTTTTGCTTAATGTTTGTCCTCTCTTTGTCAGATAATTTGTTAATAAAATAAGCCAATAGTGAAATAGTGAAATAGTGAAATATTCTTACAATCTATTAATTTTTTTTTTCTCTTTACATTTCATATTTTAGATAAAAAGTAAATGGAGTGACTTCTAACAAAAGCTTTTATTTTCTTTTCGATAAAAATTTTCCTACTGGGTAGCTTTCCTTAAATAAGCTTTTTTTTAGGTACCTACTATTTTGCTTTCTACTTCGTACAGCCATTTACAACTAACCAAAATTGCTATCGCTTTAAGTACATCACAATAATCGTTCAATTCTCGCTTTGACCGCAAAGCATTTGGAGAGCAAGCATCAAAGCACTTTCAAGCGTTAGCTCGCTCTCCTGCTCACACTTTTGCACCGAAGAAGTGAGAAAGTCATATCTTCTTCTTTACTACATATGCAGTATGGAAAAACATTGAGTGGACAATCTCTGCCTACATTATTTTTGTGAATGTTAACTTTGTGCCTTTAGTATGAATTCAAACAATTTTGTTTTTTCCAATTATATACCCATGATGTTTGTAATACCCAGAAGAAACCTCGGAGACCTCGTATATGGCTGTGTAGAAATGAACAAGTCTTTAAGCTCTTGATCTATCGTTTTGAAAATATTCACACTTTCTCATTTCCCCAAATCAGCTGTACCATATACGAAATCAAGTACTTGTACAGAACTCTTTTTCACTTGACGGCTATTCCCTAAAAATGATTTAATATCCGAAGAAAATGTATTTGAAAAGTCGAGTCATTAAAATAATATGTGTTCAGAGTCTCCTATATACTCTGTACACGTCGAACAGTTCGAACTAATGCCATTGTGGAATTTTAAAAGATAGCTTCTAAAGCACCCATATCCACTAAGTGTTTGGGTCAGGTGGAAATCTAGGTACCCACGTCGTCTCTCGATGAACGAGTGGATGTCCGGTATAAGTCGGTGGGTATAGCGTAGTATTTTGAACGCTATTATTGAAGTAAAAGAAAGGAGCTCCTTTTGTTATTACAAATGTTATTTTTAAAGTGGAGTCTTTAACTTTTAAATAATAATAAAGTCTCTCAATAAATTTAAGAGTCTAGTACTCCAATTCTCTTCCGTATATATGTACATAAATACTTACATTTAGCATTATCGCAATCAGTACGGAGAGTTTTGCTGTTGCTAAGCCATTAATAAATTTGTTACCGGGACTTACGCAAGGTCATCGACCTGATTTAAATGCACCACAAATTGCTTATATATATCAAATTATCCACTATTATGTATGTAATATTTAGAAAATTATATAACTATGGAAGTGGATATTTGTAACAAGCTGGTTGCCATTGCTGCCGAAGTCATAAAACTAATGGTTGCTCCTGTCAACAGGCATGCACACCCGCGCCACCAGCCCACTGGTGACTAAGCGCTAACGAGGCCGATGAAGCCTCTTTAATGCAAAAACACAGAGAAGGAAATAATTTTTTGAGAAATTGGCTACTAAAAGTTCAACAAATATTTGTGTTTTCCCTGCGGCAAACGGTAACGGTAAGGGTACGGTAAATGTTGAAGCCGGCAAGCGAAAGCGAAAAGTGGGTGGAAATCATTTGCAAAGTGAAGCGAGTGAAGATGGCTGACGGCTAAGGTCAACAACCAACAAGAAAGTGGGGGATTTGAATAAATTTCATGATTTCTTAATTCTAATTTAATTTCCTGGCTATTTGCTGGGCACGGCTGTGGTCAAAGCGAGGAGAGCTTCTAAGGTACGGTATCTAAGGGTATTTTCAAGGGACAGAAATGTGGCAAAAAGTATTTTAAATGTGCTTTAAGAAGTATTTTAAACATTTTAAAGGCTTAAAAATACTTAATCCCTTTAATTTCATTGATGGTGAAGAAACTTTGCTCGACATATGTATACACATGTACATATACATACATATGTCTCAACCATGGTCTCATTTATTTGATCAAAATTTAATTATTTGCGATCCAGAGGCCATGTCGATCCACATCATGATTGAAGCTTACATATACATATGTATATATATAGATGTATACGTATATATTACATATATATATATATGTCATACTTTTAGAGCTAGCTCCACATGCATGTACATATTAAACTAGGAAGTTGTTGCCGATTGGCAGGAAGATATCACTCGGCCTTCAGTTATTACCATACTAGCTGTTTTTCTTGTTATTGTTGTTCACACTTGAGACACTAAAATATCAGAAAAGTTTTAATGCATTTTTGGCAAAACATTTCCCCAACCTGCAGGCCAGCCTTTTCGTCCAGCTGTGCGCAGCGCAATAGAGCGAAGCTTTACGCAACCACTTAAACTAATTCTTGGCAAGTAACTAAGTACGAGAGTGCCGCACACAGTATACGATATTAATAGCCGAACCACAAGCGATATGCCACAGCTTACGACCAAGGCACCAGCACCAGCACCTTTGTAACATCCTCACCAGCGGCAAGAACTCAAAGTGCAAGTGATGCGCTTGCCGGGAGCGTAACGAGGGGGCCAGGGGTTGGTCGGTATCGTGACATGAAAAATTACCGGCGATAACGAAATTCTGTTACACAGTGTAAAGTGAAACTACTGTACAATTTATTCAAACCTAAAAACCTTATTAAATTGTTCACAAGGAAAAGTTTTCTTGTATAACCACCGGGGGAATACAGCTACGCCTCACACACATACTCCCATACATATAGTGAGTGGTTGCTGGCCAAAGTCACACCTTCCAACCGAAAAGGCGCTTCATTATGCCGCATCGTTGGACGACGGCTCGTTTTTAACGCTTCCGTACACACAACGACGGCGAGGCGGCCAGCTGCGGGCGGTGTGCGGTAGTGCGAGCAAAACTTTTCACTTTTGGAATTTAATGAAATATTAAAATCTTTTAGGGTGTTTTATAGTTTGCAAAACTTTGTTTATGTTCTAAGTGCGACCGAGACTCATCCTTGAGATCTTACCCAGCTTTTGAGTGTAATCCACGCAGCGTGCTCTCCATGTGCTGGAGTGGTGTTGAGTCCCATGATGGCTTCGACTAATGCTAAGCAATACAAATCTTCTTCTGCTATTAGCTAAACTCTCGCGTAGTTGATGATGGTCAAGTATGGCGAAAAGTTTTGCTTAGAAACGTTCCTAACGTTTCGTAACTTAACCAGA